TCTAATGCGTTTTTCAGAACTAGAAATATTCTCAAAACGTGCTTGATGTTTCCTCTGAGGTGCAACAAGAAGCATGTCAACATTTTATCCTAAATGAGATGCCACAAATCTTAGCAGCAAGATTGAAATAAAAGGATCGATGGCATGCTTACATTGCATATCTTTAATCCATTTCTTTTCGAACTGCAAATACAGGGTGCCTACAAGAATGATTTCCTCGGACTCGAGTTTGATCCTCTAGTACCCGGTGATCCAAAAATCCCTGGAGAATTTGTCGTCACACAGATGTTTGGCATTCCCCTAGATTATTCGAAGTGGTGGGATTTATCTGCTATTTATCTTATTCTCGTATGCTATCGGATTCTTTTCTTCATCGTTCTCAAGCTCAAGGAGAGAGCTTTGCCATTCGTTGAGGATCTTTACTCTAAGAGAACCTTGCAGATACTTGAAAAGAGGCCTTCCTTTAGGAAGGCACCATCTTTTTCTTCAAAGAGGCATCAACCTCTTCATTCACTGTCTTCCCAGGAGGGCCTTAGCTCTCCTCTCAACTAGAAGCACCAATAATATATTGAGCTGCTACGATTATCCAAGTTACAGTACTATTTCTGAGGCTTTATTTTATTGTAATGTTAAAGTTCTTGCATATACAGAAACAGATGAAGATAGATAGTAGTCCTGTCGAAGGTAAGCAATCATACAGGACTGACTTAATATTATTTCTGATGGATATAATAAAAACATCCATGGGAAATCACCCAGTTTGTATGTAATATTTGTTGTTTAAATTATGCAAATTTCTTCTCTAGACTTGCCGAATAATCATTTTTTTATTTATTTACATATTGGAGATTGTGATTTGCAAGCAATTCAGGATCGGAGAAATAAGAATATTGAAATACAAAAGAAAATTATCTTTTCTAATTACATTTCAGAATTAAATTTTATAATTTATTTTAATTTTTTTTATAAAGTTAATTTAGTTTTATAACTAAAATATAAATTTAAATCTTTTTGTTTTTGTTGTACCATATTTTTAAATTAAGGTTTTTTTTTTTATCTTTCGACCTCTAATAATAGATTTATTGAAAATTAAGCTTCATAAATTTATTTGATTTATTTTTTATAAGGTCATTATAGTTTTATAATTTTGATCGCAAATTTGACAAATTAACTTAAATTAATTAAGGTTAATTTTTTTTATTTACTTTCGATGTCATTATCTCAATCTCATGACTTAAATCACGAGTTTAACAAGTCAACTCAAGTTTTTTTTGTTATTTTTTAATTAATTTTTTTTAATTTTATTCTTCGACATTAAATTAGTTGAAAATTAAATTTTATAATTTATTTTAATTTATTTTATATAGAGTTATTATGGTTTTATAATCCAGCTTAAGGATTTGATAAATTAACCGAGTTATTTTAAATCAATTTAATATATTATTATTTTAATATTTTTTTAAAAAAATTATCTTAAATTTTCATGAATCAAATTATATTTGTATAAGTGATTTAAATTCCATTTAAACATTTGACAACCTCCCCTGAAAAAATGTTAGCAATACCCGAACGGTTTATTATATATTCGAACAAAATTTAATCTAGCTTACAGCATATCACGGGCAATAAATGTAGTGATTGTCTTAAACCAAATATTAGAGAAGGAAAAAAAGAAAAAAAAAAAAGGAAAAGGAAAAATATGACTGGGCCTTTACGCTGTCCCCAAATGATTGGCTCACTCCTACCCTCTTCATGAAGAAGCATTTACGTCTTTTGTTTGTTTTCGCAGTCGGAAAATATTTTTATAAGGATTTAAACTTTTTAATTTTTAATTAATATTTTAATATATTTTTAAATAAAATATATTTTAAAAAACACTATTACCCGCACCGATAACCAAAAATTATTAATAAGCAATGTCTTTGCTTTCAATGCCAAAACCAACTACCTACCGACAGATCATGTAGGCGGTGGTCCCCGAGGAAAGAATAAAAGAACATGGAAAATTAAGTTTGTCTTCCACGTGTCGTCCTAAGATTTCAAGAAGGTATGAAAATACGGTGCAAAAGTGTTTTAAAAAATAATTTTTTTCAAATAAAAAATATTATTTTAATATATTTTAATATAAAACATGCTTTAAAAAACAATCAACTTCCAAGCCTATGTCCACTCCTAACCTAGCACGTGAAAGCATTGATGGCTTCAGCTGCTCGAAATCTGGATGATTCATTAGTCCTGGACAGATCTGAAGTTGATAAAAACTGTTCTATAATTGCCCAATAAATTTTACTTTCTGTAAACTTGATAGAGATTTTCTTTTCTTTTCTTTTTTATAGAAAAAACTAATATTTGCTTTAATTTATATTTTTTTTATTAAGTATAAAGTAAAAAGTTAAGGAGGAAATATTGTTTCTTTGCACTCATTGGTACTATAAATTATAATAATAATATATAATATTTTTGTTTTGCATTTTAGCCTTTTTTTTTAGTTATTGATTTTTTTTAATTTAATCCTTTTATAATATGTTGATAAGAATTTAGAATTTAGAATTTATTTTAATTTATCTTTTCTATGATTATTATGATATAAAAAATATATCCTAGTATTGAGTTGGTATAGAAAAATATAAAATTAAAAGAAGAGAAGAAAACATTGTTTCTCCATACCTATTAACATTACAAAATACAACTAAATATAAAATTAAAAAGTATGGGGAAAATACTATTTTCTCATACTTATTACCACTTATTACCATTGTGAATTATAATAGTCATTCATAGTATTGTCGAGTTTTTTGGGTGCATTTTGGCTCCCCTTTGTTTTTTATTTTCTTTGGTTATTGATTTTGTTTTTTAATTTGATAAGGATTTAAAATTAATAATTTATTTTAATTTTTTATGTGGTTATTGTTATTGCAATATCAAAAAAATCTCAATATCAGTTTGATATAAAAAAAATATCACAACATAGAGATATGGTTTATTTTTTAAAAAAATTAGTTAAATAAAAAATAATTTACAAAAACTAGGATATTAAATTTTATAGAGTTAATGATCCGGTTTACAAGTTTGACGAGGTAACCCTGATTATCCCGACTCATAGGTTTGGTAGTGGTTTTTCTTTTTATTATTTGAATTCGATGATGTAATTGTTTATTTTTTTTATCATATGGTTAAAAAAATAATTTTGAAAAAAAATATTATGAAATTTTAGAAAGTTCATAGGTTGTTAATGGGTTTATCGAGTTTAACTCTCTTTTTTAAAATTTATTTTTTTTATTTTATCATTCGATATAGGACTAGATTTTTATAATTTTTTTTATTTTACTTTTTATGAGATTATTATAATCTTTATAAAAATTTTCAATAATAGCTTAACGTTCAATTTTACAATCATTTATTTTTATTATTATATAGTTAAATAAAAAATAATTTAGAAAAAAATAAGTTATTAATCATAATAAAATTCATTGCCCAGTTTGCAAGATTGATATGTTAACCCAACTTACATGATTCATGAGTTTAGTGAATTTACCTATCAAATCTGATATGTTTGTTTTTTAGTTTGAGGTCCTTTAATTTTTCTAAATGTTTTTTTATTTTATTATTATTTAATATTGGATTAGTTGAAAAATAAAATTCATAATTTAATTTTTTAATTTTTTACAAGGATATCATAATCTCAAATAAACTTCTGTTTTAAGATTGATACTTAATTTTACAAGCATCTAATTTTATTATAGAATTAAATAAAAATAATTTATAAAAAAATAAAGTTATTTAAATCTTTTTAAATAAATCTTTAAGCTCGATTATTAATAAGATCTATAATGAAGCATCATAACGACATAACCTGTAGATTAAGCTTTTGAGCCACACATTCAAGTCTATCATGGGACTCCATTTATCACACATGCAAGGCACAACCGTTCGAACAGCTGCTTCAAATAACAAATCAAATTACCAAGATCTATTATAACAATGAACAGATTGATCATCAGGTGGAGCAATACTGAGGCGTCCAGCAATCTAGCTAGTTGCAGCTGTTCTTATAAATAAAAAGCACCCATTTAAGACCGAAATGGTACACATAATATTGTATCCATTGTATATGGAGGAGTTGGATAACTATCCCCTTACCCGTATGAATGCATGTATAGCTGCTTCAACATGAGTTTTCAAACAAAAAAAAATAATCGATGATCGTGCCTTTGTGCATGGGCGGCTAATATTCTTATTTATTTATTCTGTTCTCATCTTCTTCTCATTGCTCACATTGAAGAATAATTCAGTAATGTCGCAGGTCCTGCAGTACTTTGCTTTGTTCTTATACCTTCACAAACAAGTTATCATGTCATGTTTCAGTCGAGCTGCCAGGCGCGCAGTTTGTTAATTGGACGTTAGAATTGATTTTAAAGATCAGCCAGAAATATATTTCATATGGAACCCCTTTTAATTTCATAATAAAAGAGATGGACAATCGTGGACGTCCTAATTAAATTCAGTAGATAAACTGTATAATAAAAAACTATCTCAGATTATTTCACTCCATTTTGAAAAATTGCGTGATTTCTGATACAGGCGGAGCCACTTCGAAAAATCTCTATATATAAATCATGTCAACAGAAAAGCATTGTGAAGGATTTGATAGCTCCATGCGCATGTACGTACATGAATCATGGGTCGATGGCTCATATTACATAGTTTGCATCAGTAGCAACTATCAATATTTAGTATTTTCTTTCTACATACAATGAATTTTATTGGTTCTAGATGGTGACGAAACAAGAACGAAAAACAACAGAGGACTCCATGCATTAAGATTGTTATGTGATACGTAGCTAGCTAGAGCAGTAAAAATGATGTTGAAATTTTTTTTTACTGGTAGTAAAAGTGATCGTTTTCTGTCCTGCACCTTATTAATGAAGCATTGATGCATGGCAGGTTGGGTGATTAGCATTTGCTGCCTAGCTAAGTAACTCTATATCACTGCTTCACCAGTACTGGCCAAAGCTATCAGACCATCTCTGTTGCACATTCACTCCTCTATTCTGCTTTTCTTTGCTGAGTTTAGAATTTGGAAAGCCATCTCCCTGTTCTCACCAGAAGAAAGAAAGTAAGAAAGAAACAGTATTCCCTTCGAGCCATCCCTTGACCACAAAGACATATAATTAGTTTCTTATTATAAATTCTCTTCTCTTTGCCTGTTCTTTTGCTTTCAAATCCCAACTTGAGAGTAGTTATTGCATTTTATGGAGATAGAGCAGGTTGTAATCAGCAGTGGTGGAGATGGTGGCTCTGGAGGTGGGAATGCGGACGCAGGTTTACCACGAGGAAGAGGAGATCATGGAGTAGGGTCTATGTTCTTGGTATGGGAGGATTTAACAGTGGTTCTGCCAAATTTTGGCAATGGACCTACAAGGAGATTGCTTAATGGGCTAAATGGATACGCCGAGCCTGATAAAATCTTGGCTATTATGGGTCCATCGGGATCTGGGAAATCTACCCTTCTTGATGCATTAGCAGGTTTTTGCATCTCTCTCCCTCTCTCTGGCAATTTTAGTATGGAGTGTAGGATTTCTTTTCTAGATTCATTTCCAAGTACTGATCCAAGACTAGGAACTCTGTTTGCCAGGCGCGCGCACTAGGAAAACAGCAGTGATAGCATTAGATATGGTAGAGTGCATGGTTAATTAATTATTCATTTTTCAAGTTACTTCCAGATAATCGTAAGCATGCATGCATATATATATATATATGTCTCTATATTCTCCTGGTATAATTTGATGTTTTCAAACTTGACATAATCTTTCATCGATCTTTAGCAAAAGCAGTGAAGCCATGAAGGAAATAGATCCAAAGGTGCCCAAGTCAAGCACGAGCATTTATTACTAGGAGAAATCAAAATCTTAACTATGTTCTGCGAACTTGAAAATCGTTGTCAATAAGCTTTAGATTAGATGATGGCTCGAACATGCCAATGCCTTAATGAGCATGCCGGCACTCCATCTCTAGGATCCCATCCATGCTTTTATGACCCCTACCAGTCCCAACAAATTACCTTAAGCAATAGTCCCACACTGTTGTTGATTTTTTTTTTTTAAGATACAATTCTCTTTTTAAAGCATAAATCACATCTTATAAAAATAAAAAAATACATATATTTTTATATAAATTCCATAAAAAAACTAATCACAATTCTGTCCGAAACACCCTCCTAGCCCTGTATAGGGTTTGTCACAATAAAACACACGCATATAAATGCTGGTGCCTGAGGCACATGGAGCTCACAGAGCGTGTGACATATATATATATATATATACACGCACGCATGCAATTAACGATGTTGCCATTGCTAGCATTCGTATATTTGTATGTATACATGTGTGTGTATGCATGTACATTCATAGCAAGGCTAAAGCCTCTATTGATTGGTCCTAGCCATGTAACACCATACATAGTTGATGTGACATTGTGAGTGAGGTTTAAATGCACTTGGTGAGCCTTTGGAAGGAGTCAAAATAAACGCAGACCTACTCCTTTGGAAGGGAGGTGATGTCCCATCTTGAAGCGAATACTAGGCTTTAATGCATTTGCACATTAATTACACTTATTTTATAAGTAAATAAGAAATAAATATCAATCATTTGTTAAATTTTGAAGGCTATTATTTAGCTAACATCATAGTTGTTGTTTTTTTTATTGGTGTAAATTGATGTTTAAAGCCCTAACTTAATCTATATACAAGATAAAATGCAAACTCCTAAATAGGTTAGCAATAATCAGTTCTCCTTAGCAAAAGAATTTCTTGTTAAGCCATAACTACTAGCTAACATGATGGTTAATTAGAGGAGTTTAAGCATTATTATATATTTATTATTAGTCGTTTGAGAGCGTGATCAATGTGCATTAATATTGTGTTTTAAGTTTAAACAGTTAGGTAATAATACCTTAAATTTGAACTAGATTCATGTACTGTCCGGTTCAAATTGGACCGCACATTTATATATATGACATTCAGTTCAAATTGAACGGTTATTACTTTGTACTCAAAAGTTGTTGCATCGAAATTATTAATTAGTTGAATAAATTAAGGTTTTGTTTAACATGAGTTATAATAAATAATTTTTTACTTTGGGTGATAATTTAAAAGTTTTTTTAAAATAATTAATGATAAAAAATAAATTAAATGATTTTAAATAAATAAAAACATGTTTGTTGAGATTGATTTAAACCAACATTTGTCATAAAAAGAACATGGTATAAGTTAAAATACATAAAATAAAAAAAATAAAAGTTTTAATTTTTGATTAAATGAAAATTTTAACTCAAATTGATGGCAAGCTTTTGATTTAATTCAAAAGTCATATCTAAACATATTTAAGATTTTTTTAATTGAAAAATAAGTATAAAAATAACTTAAATCAATTTATAAAAAATTATACCATGCATAACCTAATTGTCCCCCATGAGGTCGGAGAAAAGCGTTGCTTGGACTACCCTCGGACGGAAACCAGCAGCTTCCACTCAAGCATAAAACTTGACCGTATTTTTTTAATACAACACCAATATTTTATTTATTTATTTATTTTATCTTCTTGCAGAACAGAAAATCCTTTTGTTTTGTTTTTATTTTTTATTTTGACAGTGGTAGAAACAACCGCTATAACTCCCTTTTAAGTGTATTTGAGATTATTATAAATTTTATTTTTGCAATATTACATGTTTGTACATGTTTTAAAATAATATTTTTTTTTATTTTTTAAAATTTATTTTTTATATTAAAACATTAAAATAATATAAAATTAATTTTTTAAAAAAAAACACAAATAAAAAGAAATCAGCCTAAAAAATTATCCAGGAAAGTAAGCTCTAGAAAACATTTCGTATAAGAATCAAGAACTAATCATTCTAATCTTCATTACTCTTTCACACTCTCAATAATATAAACCACAAATGAAAGCATGCAATAATCATACATATTTGATAATATATATGAATTATATTTTCAATGAAAAGGTAACGAAGAAAAAAAAGTTTATTTGTCATAATTAGCATATACTAATCATAGTTAAATATCTTCTAAAATAATAACCAAAAATTAATACATAAATAAAACTAAATCCCTTTAAAAAATTACTGTACACAAGTTATTATTTATTGTAATAATATAATTATGATTTGCCCTTAAAAAAAGAAGCAATGCACTAAGTTTTGAGGGAAAGATCATTTTCTCCATGATATAATTATTTTTTTTAGTTTATTTTTTTTTATTTTTTTCATATTATTTAAATCAATAACTTAATACTTTGATTTTTTTAACCTAACACTTTTTTATGTCAAAAAAATTCTCTATCCGCATTCTCCAACGTATCTAGCAACTCCTAAAATAATTTATTTTCTTATAATTCATTTAATTTCCTGTTGATCATTTATTCATTAAATAACTTTCCTCTGTGTGTGCGTATAAATTGAATTGAATCAAATATATTTTCCTCTGAAAAATGTCAGAATGATTTTTTATTTCTATCATTTTCTTTTTCATCTTGCGTTTATGTATCATCCTAACCCTCACTAAGACATCAGGATAATGGCTCAACAATCGACATATCTTAAACTTTCCTCTTCAACAGAAGGCAGTCGTTAGACAAAACATGATTCCGCTAAACAAAATCTCTCTTAATTGCAGATGTCACAAAACATGATCTTACTTTTCTTTTCTTCATTTGGTTACCTTGGGCTGGACAATGAGCTAGATCACTTGCCACCAATTTGCCATCACGTTCAATGATCTATCCAACCCCATCAATTGCTGTTTATCTTAATTTATGATGACAGCATAATGAAGACTGCCTCTGGACCAATATCCCATTTGTGAATCCAGCCGACCCTATTTCATGCTCGTTCTCCATGAGAACACTCACTACCTCTGTATCATTTTGTGATCACGAGGAGCTTATGTAGCAAGAGAGTTCCAGCTTCCAACCTATTATTTGCAGCTCAATCATATTCAATAGATTTGAGTTATATAGCTAATGAATAGGAGGGAAATATTATTGATTTGTACGTCACTTAATACTAACAGTACTGACTGTCTATTCCTGCAATCTATGAAATTTGTGCAGGAAGACTAGCAGGGAATGCTGTGATGACTGGGAATGTTCTACTCAACGGGAAGAAGAGGAGACTGGACTATGGTGGTGTTGTAAGATTCTAGTTTCTTGTGTTCATAAAAATTAATTAGTGAAAAATGATATAGCCTAGTTCCCCCATATGAAAATTTGAAGAAATACACATATTTCTCTTCTAATGCTGTATCATTAATCAGGCTTATGTAACACAAGAAAATACACTGTTGGGCACTCTCACAGTTAGAGAGACCCTGAATTACTCGGCTCATTTGAGACTTCCAAGCGGCATGGCTAAAGAAGAGATAGATGACGTTGTAGAGGGGACAATCATGGAAATGGGTCTCCAAGAGTGCAGTGATCGGCTGATTGGAAACTGGCATTTAAGAGGTATAAGTGGTGGGGAGAAGAAAAGACTAAGTATTGCACTTGAAATCCTCATAAGGCCACAGCTTTTGTTTCTTGATGAACCTACAAGTGGCCTGGACAGTGCTGCAGCTTTCTTTGTAATTCAAACTCTTAGAAATATTGCTCGCGATGGAAGAACCGTCATATCTTCTATTCACCAGCCAAGTAGCGAAGTTTTCGCACTCTTTGATGAGCTTTTCTTATTATCTGGTGGCGAAACAGTTTATTTTGGAGAGGCAAAGATGGCGTTAGAGGTACAAGTGTATAAACAATATTGGATTTTCCTTGGGCACATTGCAAGTAGAATTCAACATGTTTTCTCACTTTTCTTGCTGCTAAAACATATATTATGCGCATCTTGTTAATTATCTCATAATCAAACTGAAAATTACTCATTTCAATGAGAATTCTAAGTTTGCATCTGAATCTAACCTGGAGTGCTAATTTTGCAGTTCTTTTCTGAAGCTGGATTCCCATGTCCAAGTAGAAGAAACCCTTCTGATCATTTCTTACGTTGTATTAATTCAGACTTCGACCTTGTCACTGCAACCCTGATGGGATCTCACAGAGTATGTGCAAGTATGCTATGGCAGTTTAGTTTTTTCTGTCATCATTTCTGGAAAGGAAAAATTACCGAATGTGCATGTCAGCTAGATCTTAATGCCTGTCCATCCCTTGTACTTGGAATTTTCTTTTCATACTATAAATCGCTTAACTGAATTATAACTCTTCTGGGTTTTTTTTTAACTGAAGGAAATTCAAAATCCATCAGATTCTTTGGCAAATTTGCCAACAGCAGAGATTAAGGCATCGTTAGTCAAGAAGTACAGGTCCTCCAACCATGCAGCAAATGCAAGAGCTAGGATTCAAGAAATTGTGGCGATTGTAAGCATTTCAAATATTTCTGCATATGGTGCATATTAGTTCTCCTCCCTTAATTGCAGTTGTCTCGTTCTAGCATCCCTGTGTGATTTGAGTTCTCAGGGTACTGATCTCTTAATACATAACACCTTAAATGCAATTTATAACTTGATTTCTCAAATATGTGCCCTCAGTGCACATGTTAGAAGGCATTGAAATTTTTAAAATTATAGCATTCTCTTACATCACTACCTACCCGTGAATTGCCGGACATTAGATCAAACAGCTAGAAACGAGATAACCTACTCTAACGTGTGCCCTTAGACTTAGAGAAATCCTATATAGTTTACACAATGCTGCTACATACATATAAGGAATCAACATCACACACATTGACAGGGGAAAAAAAAAGTTCGGTAAATATTATTTCTGAAGAACTGGTTTTCATGAACATGAATTCTGTATTGCAGAAAGGGCTTGTGGTTAATATAAGAAGCGAAAACCAAGCAAACTGGTGGAAACAACTTTCAACGTTGACAAGGAGATCTTTCATTAACATGTGGAGAGATTTGGGGTACTATTGGGTGAGGATTATCGTCTACATCTTATTGTCTATTTGCGTCGGTACCATATTTTTAGACGTTGGCAAAGGTTATACTGCAATATTGGCCCACGGAGCTTGTGGAGGATTTCTGTCAGGATTTATGACATTTATGTCCATTGGAGGCTTCCCCTCCTTCATTGAAGAACTGAAGGTAAACTACTCAAAATAAACTTTTAGTAGAGTTATATGGCGCTAGTTAAGTTTTAGTTAAGCTTTCTCAACGCTTTACCCAGGTTTTTTACAAGGAAAGGCTCAGTGGGTATTATGGGGTCGCTGTTTATGTACTGTCAAACTTTCTATCTTCGTTTCCCTACTTGACTGTCATGTCATTTGGCACCTCAAGTATTACCTACTACATGGTGAAGTTTCGGCCAGAATTTTCAAATTTTCTCTATGTTTTCTTCGACCTTCTAAGCAGCATAGCAACTGTGGAGAGTTGCATGATGACTATAGCTTCACTAGTCCCCAACTACCTAATGGGATTCGTTATTGGATCAGCATATATTGTAAGAATAGCCTTTTAATTCATCTTTTTCATCCCATCATCATTATTCCTAAACTTCATCCATGGTTTCTCTTCCACTGATATTTGTTTTCAGGGAATCCTAATGATGACCTCTGGGTTTTTCCGGTTGCTGCCTGATATTCCTAAGGTCTTCTGGCGCTACCCAATTTCTTATATCAACTTTGGATCATGGGGATTGCAGGTAGGGTACAAGCAAGATTGAATCTTAGTTTTTATGTATTCAACACATGATATTTACCATTCCTATAATGGGAAATGCAGGGAGCATACAAGAACGACATGATTGGGCTGGAGTTTGATCCTTTAGTACCTGGCGGTCCAAAACTGAAAGGAGAAGAAGTTCTTACAACCATGCTTGGTATTAGTCTTGATCATTCAAAATGGTGGGACCTGTCTGCTGTCCTGATCATTCTCATTGCTTTCAGACTTCTCTTCTTTGCCATTCTCAAGTTCAAGGAGAGAACTCTCCCCATGCTTCGGAAGCTTCATTCCAAGAGGACTCTAAAGCATCTGAAGAAGAGGCCATCTTTCAGGAAGACTTCTTATTCACCCTTCCCTTCAAAAAGACACCAACCTGCTCATTCTTTGTCTTCTCAAGAGGGTCTCAGCTCTCCAATTCCTTACTAGCAGCACACTTTTCACACATGGCCGCGGTGCACGCTAGCCCTGCCTGATATTTTAGAGAGTTATGGTGAGGGTAAAACGAATAAAAAAACCATACATAGACTTGCTTTAACCATTTAAAATTTAAGAATTGCTTTTACAAACCAATTTCACGTTTTATTCTAATCGTTTGAAATGTCTTGTGCTCACGCGTGGAAAAGTATTATGTATCGTTAAAAATGGTGACAGGTGGTCCATGATAACATTTCTGTATGATAATAATCAACAGTTGGTAGACAACTTCTCTTGAGAAACAGACGAGCTTTTACCCCTTAAGCAGACAACAAGCTTGAAGCGCTCAAGGTATACAGGAAGACTCGATGGTAAAGGTTAAGCAACCTTCTTGTTGGGATAAGGTTTCTTAGTGAACTTCTCTGCAATCTGAAGAAGCAATGCGCATCGACACCTGAAAGCACCATAATTTGGATTTTGGGCATGGCCTGTTTAGCTTTTCCCCTGTTGAATGTGCCCACATGCAAGGTTAAAGTTTGGATTATCAAGAGAAGGTTGCCGGCTGTACTCGTGAGCCTAATTTCCAGTATGTGGTCCAAACTGTGAAGTCCACATCATTATTATTATTATTATTATTTTCAATGAAGAAAATTCAGTGTGCAAAAATAATGCAAAAAGAAAAGAGAAAAGTGAAAAGAACGCAGTGAGCATCTCGTAAATGATGACTGTGCATGTTGCCAACTACTACTTGCTGTAAGTATATTTGAACCTGAGCATTAACGTTACCCAAACCATTCAAAGGTAAAATCAAGAACATGTATCAGTCAGTCCATTTGTCTCCATCACCTCTAAATAAACAATCACATTATGCTTCCAACCACAACATAACTGTATTCAGCAGCACCTGCCCAGCTGTATCCAAAAGGAGACAATGTTAACTCCTCTTAATCAAGATTTCGGTGGTGATGATCGTGCCACTCTAAAATACCACTTTTCTTAAAGCCCAGGCGTGCCTGAAATTCTATCAAGCAAATGCACAATTGAGTAATGACAATCAAATGCTGGACTCAACTTCGTACTGCTGCAAGTCAAACCAAACCAGAATACGTGCTCACACGCCCTAATGTTGAGCTCATATGGCAAATTTAAGAACGCATCCACAGATTCTAATTCAGTCTGGTGCTCGCCTGTCCGATCAAAATGAACCACTTTAGCTAGGAAACTTGCAAAGGTCAGGTTTGCACATCATAGACTCAACAAATCATGCTTAGCCACAAGTTGCTCAAGAGGTTAATGATTCAAATATTTGACTTACAATCGGCTGCCATGCATTAGCACAAAACAGTAGTAGGACAGTAATCTCAAGGAACCGTCCCTTTAATCAACCAAAAAGACTGACAATCTAGACAGTCCATCATCTTCCAACAATAGCAGAGAACTTACCGAAACCACAGCGATATTGGAAAAGCACGCAAAACAGAGATTTACATGATGCATAAGCCTTAAGCCATGATTTCTGAAACATCTACCTTGTGAATAGGAATTCCGAGAAAGGTATCACATCACTTCAAAAATGTGCAAATCAGTTCAGATATGCTGTTGTAAGCTAATAATACTTCTCATCAACAAAAACCAATCCATACCAAGAAACAGTACTGGGGTACCATTGGGCTCATGAAATAAAATCACATCTCACAAGCAGAAATCAACTCTCTTTTTATCTTCTAAAAAAAATGTTAGTTCACAGAAACTGAATCAGTTCACTTGTCAGTCCTAATATATCAGTAACTAAAATTATTGATAGAATGCTCATTCAAATCAACCTCCCAACTCTGCAGATGGTAAAAAGGTTACTTGCTAATGTTTCTTCTCATCGCTCACACCATTTTCAGCACGGTTGTCAAACCCATGGTATGGAACATCAATCATAGGCTTGGGAACTTGGCGTCCTCCAAAATCCTCTGGAAAGAATTCAAAATCAGGGCCGAAGTTAAACTTGACCACACAATTTGGCTGATTAGGGAGAGTGTACATTGAAGCAGCGGGGTAGTAACAGCCACCAAATAAATCCTTGAACGCAACACCTTGACATACTCCGTTTCTGAAGAAAGATATCTCACTTCCTGCACAAGAAAATAATTTTTAGTACACAGTTAGTCGTAACATCCATCATATCAAGCACGAATACATATTAGCACCCCAAGAGTAGGGCATGGATCAACCATGCTCATTTTAAAATAAGATTTTGAACAAGTTATCACCAAGCTTGTCCCCTGGCGTGCCCTACCTAGCAACCCAGAGGTCAAAACACACAGTATCCCGCATGATATTTCATCAATAAATTGGTGAGTTCTGTATAGTATGCACCCCCAAACACACATCATTTCACATAATATTTCAACAATAAATTGATGAATGCAAATTCTTCTTTACAATGCAAGGCATGGCTGGCAATAAATTGGTCAGGCATGTCCATTCCATCAGATTAAAAGAATCTAATGTCAAAGACACACTTTGCATAAGATAAATGTGAAAAGTCTCATAAGCAATCTGAAAGATGATTCAAAATTTACAACTTGGTTTGCCATCAGCATAAACAGGCCAAACCTAAACCAAATCAGATTTTGCCAGCCAGATTCAAAGATTTATAGCTGCTTGGAAAGGAAATTGATAGCTTTTAGTTACTGTCTCGGGAAAAAAAAGACAGATAATGGGAACATATAGGACGTATCTCTTCTATTTTGAAAGTACATAAATTCACTTCAAAACTATTTCAAACAAATTTATTTTATATCTTTATCTTTGTTTCTTCAATCAAACATATTTATGTCCTCAATGTCTCTGTCTTTTCTGTCCTGAAACAACAGCCAAACACCACCAATAAATCACAGACCGCACACATTATCTAACTGCATAGTAGGACCCATGGCCGCTTCTCCCATGTGAATGTTGAGCAGTAAAGGTTGAAACCTTTCCTTAGCTACAAGCCATGCTACCCGCTGCCAGAGAGAGGAGCTGCCCTATCTCTTCTCGCCTGACATACCTAACCCTAATCCCCCCTTCTTGCACTCCAAGCCTACCCTTCCTTGAAACAATATCCAAGTTTCAACACCCGGGGAGGGTGGGGGGGTCTCTAATGGGAAGAACTCATTTAGAGGAGAAATAAGAGGGTTGTGGGTGTTGATCAAACAATAGAGACAATGTTAGTCAACCCAAAAAAGCCCAGCCTCAGGTGGAGATGGTAGAACCTACACTGTGAGGAAACCACAACATAGTTTAGGATGGTTGATCTGAACTTTGGAAGCAAGGACAGAAACCTAAGAAATCCATCATCAAAAGACAAGAATAGTTCAGAGGAGAATCAACTTGCCAACCATTCTCTACTTCCTATGAGGGCAAATCCCTTGTCTATTTAGACATAGAAACTAGTCTCGTAAGTAGATTTTTTTTACAAGACAACATGAGCCTCAATTCATTTGAGAAGAAAAATTATTCTTGTATACTGAGAACAGACAATATTCCAATGCAGTCACCAAGAGGTTTGAAAGAATGAGTTGAGGGCAATGCAAAAATATCCTTTTGTCTACAACCAGACAAAAGTTTAATGTTTCTTGAAGTTCTAACTGTTTATTCTGGAAACTAGAGTACACAGAACCTCCAGAAAGAACAAGAGCAGCGGGGAAGCGGCTATATGGCTATTCATACAACACATTAAGATGCCCTTAATGTAAATCTCACTATTATTCTGCAATAACAGGGAGTTGGCAATAACATATATTATCGTATCATTGGATATTAAGAATAAGAAATTAACTTGACTCACTTTGGAATTCAATTTGCACGAAAAGCTTTTTGTGTAAATGACCTTCACTGGGCCATATATTCTTTAACCATCATAACTTATATATCAGATACTCAGATTAGATAATTCGGCTCCTAATTTATAAAATGACATCCATCCAGGTAAAGAATTTGTGCTTGACTATAATCATTGAAAATTATCCGCAAGTTGGAGTAAGGTAAACTTTCACCATATCTTCTGTTCAAAACAAGTAGACCCAGTACAGGAAACAACAGGAGAAGAGGAGAGCCTCTAAATCCAGGGGTGTTTCAATTGGTAGCTCCTTATGTAATCCAATGGACAAAAGCATGCAAGGGAATGCCTAGTCATTTGGAACACACAAGTTCCCACAGGGTAACAGACCTATTGATGAGAGCAGACTACAAATGCCACGTGCAAAACAGGTGATCTATGACCTCTTCTTAGCCTACCTTACGCTTCCACAATACCATCAGCTCATGTTTAATTTTGATCACGACACTTAATTTCTGGAAACTAATGCCACAAGGAAAACAAAAGAGGATGTGATTAAAAACACCTCAACAATAAGCACCCCCTTGGCATGCCACCTCCACTCTCTCTGGTGAAGAAAAACCAAGTTGCTAACCTCAGCACAGCCAAACTTATCCCAAAAAAAAAAACAGAGAGAGAGAAAGAAAGGCCACATTGGTCAGACATTGGAAGGCTAGAAGTAGCTCTGCGTCCACAATTGAGGACTATGTTGCTAGCATTCACACTCAAAGACTGACATGACTCTTTTCACAACAATGAGGAACTTAATTGCAACTCACTCAGATTCACAATACAGAGTATCCGAATGCATAAAAAATAAAAAAAATAAAAACCTTCATAGTGACAAAATAATCATCCTTGAACATCCCATCACAATAAAATCTACGAGACAGGAATCTTCTTCCCACCCACACCATTAGCTAATATCGTTGCTACAGGAAACAGATTCGTTTGTGGGAGGTGAAGTCAACACGTTACTTATTTCCCATTTTATTTGCAATTACAGAATTCCAATTTCAAGCAACACTATTCTTCAAATTTAAAGCAACCTTCTTTGCTAAATTCTTGATGCTAAAACTGTCGTGTCAATTCGTACAATCCTAAATTCTCTTATTAAATGCAAGACAAAAGCAGGACCTTCAGCCTCCTAAAAGTCCTCGATGTAAACCATAACCAATGCTATTAAAATCAAACAATAGATAACCTTAAAAACTCCTTACTTAACCAGCACATTGCAATACACATAAGATTCAAGAGTGAACAATATAAGAAAAACAAAAACTCACCAGGAACAATCTTGGGAGGATCTTCCTTAGCATCAGGAGCACAAACATACCTCTGCCCTTTATACCAAACCAAATGAGCAGGCTTAGGAGTATACAACCCCCCCTCCGGCAAATTAATATAAAACCCAATAACATCCCCCTCTTTATACCCTTCCTCGCCATATTTCTCCCTCAATGCCTTATGCACTTTACTCCCATCAATATCTCTATACCCAAAACTATTTCCATCATATCCAACTGGTGCCTGTAAGTCCCCTTTCTCCGTAGACCACCCAAGTCGTGTGTGTCCGGTTTCTCCTAAAGTAACAACTTTAATTTCAAAATACCAAGCTCCTTCACATACCCCTCTTGTAGCTCTCACCATTCTATACCCCTTGGCACTCCCTGCACTCAATCTATCTTCGCTCACTTCGACTTTCTCTGCTTTATATACTTTAGATAAGCAGATTTTTAAGTCTGGGGAGTCGTCGCTTTTGTCAGGGAATCTTGGGGCTGGAGTGATTAAGACAGTGTCTTCTGATGGAGTGTTTTGCGGGTTTGGTTTTGTTTTTTTCTTGCCTTTGCGTGTGGATCTTGTAACCCAGACATTATTGTTGTTCTTTTTCTTCGACTTCTTTTTCTTTGTTGTTGTTGGGGTGATTTTGGTTGGTTTCTTGAACTCGAAGGCTCCATTGTTGTTTTCGATTTCTGCAGTTATCGCTGGTTCGGGTGGCTCTTGTTTCTGTGTTAAAGAGGAGAGTTGTTTCTGTTTTTTAGGCGGTGGGTCTTCTTCATCTTCATCGTCTTCAATTTCAGTGTCTTCAATTTTGGGAGATTTAGGTGTGGGTTTCTCGGTGTCGTTTGAGGTTGTCGGGTGGTCTGATTCGGAGAGAGATTCAGAGGCTGATACAAAGGCGTCCTCTTGTTGAGGTTGTTGGTTGGCTGTCGTGTTGTTAATTGGAGTTATTTCAGTGTCGCCTTGATGTGGGTCTGTGCCGTTTTGGTGTTCTTCGAGTTCAATAGGACTGCTGCTACTGGTGGTGGTGGGGGGAGGAGGAGGGGGGGTGGGAGGACTGTGGTTGGTGATGCTGTTGTTGGGTTGCTGTTGTTCTTCCTCTTCCTCTTCCTCTCTGTAGGTGGCTTGAAGGGAATCCATGAGGTCGCAGAGGTTTTGACTTGTAGATTAGCGAAGGAGCGAAAGGAGTTTTTGGGTCATTGACAGAAGGGGAAAAAAGTTAAAAGCAAAGACAAGACAAACATGGATTAGAAATTAGAAGTGGACGAGGCGTGAACTGTGAACGAAAGAATGCGTGGGAGGACGAGTAGAAGGGCTAACCTCGATTTCCCCCCAAAATTATACCTATTTTATCAATTAACCCCCAAATTTTCTTTTTTTTTCAATCACCTACTTCATGTTTCAACTTGACCGCTATCATCCCCTAAAGAGAAGTTTAAGCTTGCATTTTCGATGGAAATCACCCGCTCAAATTATAGGAAATCGGTTTGGTTCTTGAAAAGGAAACTGATAAATTTCTCTTAAAAACCTTATGATAAACTTAAATATCGAGTCATTTGATGGTATTTTGTATCCCTGATACGGTTTCATATTCATTTTTGGGGGCTCTTTCTGGTGCATGAAACTAATTCGCTGGAGTTTTAGCTGGTAATTTCCCTTAGAAACTTAATTACAATCAATATAGGGGGGTGATTGCTAGAATATTTAGTTTTAGTATTTGATTGATAAATAACGTAAGTTAGGGTGCAAATTGAGGTGAAACCCAAATCAAATAAAATTGATGGATTTTAAAGTTAGTTATTGGGCTTTGAGATTTGGTCTTTGGGCTTTGTGATTTGGGCTATTGGGTGTGTGTAACTCAGCTGGGCTTTCAAATATTCTGCTGGTGTATAATGGAGCTATCTCCACCATCCCCACCTGAAATCTATAAATTAAAGGGTTCTTTTGTCGCTTTTTTTTTGCTGGGTTTTACGGCCAGAGGTTTTGCAAGAGAGAAATGAATGCGAAAGAGTTCGAGTTCCATGTCGCCGGAAGGCAGCCAGGATCAGAAGAAGGAGGCAACAAGACGTTTAGAAATGTAGAGGATACTTTCTATCTACCAGATTTACAGTAACCAGAATTCTCATCATCAGCTCCATTTTGGGTACAGAGCTATCCGTTTGTTTTCTTTTAATCTCTGAACTTGTTGTTCTGTCTTTGTATACTATGACGTTTATAAGAATTAAAAATTAAACAGCTTCAGTCTGTTACTCAACATGTGCCTTGGATTGCATTGAGCCTGCATGGAATCAAAATTTTAAATTAAGGACACTCGATCCTTTGGATTTGTGTACTGTCACTATGAGTTTTCGTTATTTGTTACTTCCAGTGCTAGATTCTTTACTATTACAGGGGCTTGCTTCATTTTGTGCAGGTGATTTCTTATAGCTCTTTCATTCGCAGCTTAATTTTTACTGTTTCGATCTAAGTTCATCACACTTGAAACGCTTTCCGGTTAGGGTTTTGAATGGTTGTCGGTGGCTCAATAAGATTCATTTTTGGAAGAGGTGGATGGGAGATGGAGCAATTATAAGATAAGCATTGGGATTTATAAATGGCATGTTGATGTGTTTGGACAAGACTAGCATTCACGAGCTTGTTCAGAAAAATAAAAACACCAGCTTCCACGCTCACCGCACCATTGTTAAAAATAATTTCGGATGAAAATAAATATGAAATTGGTTTAGAAGTTTGAAAATATTATTTTTAAGATATTTATTTTATAAAGATAATATTTTTAGAATATAATTATTTTTTTGATCTTGTTTATTTATTGAAAAGTAATTTTTTTTTAAAGTGAATTTCAAGAAATTGAATTATTTTTTTATGTTTAGTAGTGTAATAAAAAATAAATTAAAAAATACTTTTTAATATTTGGTTATGTCATGAAAAATAAGCTGTAAAATAACTTATTAATATTTTATTTTTATCAAGTTTATTAAAATAATAAGGAACAAATCTTACAAATTAAAAAGTTGAATGAGAATGAAATTAAAAAAAAATAATTTCATAA